CTACAATCTAGGTGGACTATCATCCACATCATCATTTGCCTGTCCATTATGTTCTAAAGCTTCATACCTGTGAATAAGGGCACCTGGGAAGGTGAGGTGAGGCAGGAAGAGAAGGCATTTGCCTGCAAATCTAAGATAAAACCTGCTTCCATTCCTCTCTGCCTCTTAGATTCCCTTCTTCAGTCTGGTTCCCCCTTCTCAAACTCCCTGATGCTCCTCACCCTGCCCATCTGTTCCTGAATCTCTGTCCCCAGGTTGAGCAGTTCTTTTACCCAAATGTACTTCCCACAGGTGTGCTCACTGCTGCCACCAAACACTGACAGAAAACTTGGTCTTGGCCTGCAGCCCGAGACTTTGGTTGCCACATATTCCCTCAGAAGCTCTATCTGGCTAGCCGTGTCAGTTCCTGCAGCATAGAAGACCTAGAGAACTTTGCTCCTTGTGAGTAGTTAACATCCGTGCATCTTAACATACATATGATGATTTGGTCCTCCATTTATTGTTCTCCCCTATGTCTCTTTACTTGTAATATGAAACTCCTACTTAGTAATATGTCATGGTGGGTTAATTAAATGAAATCCTGGCAGTAATTTACTATATGAATACCAGGAAGCTTCTATTTGCAGCGATGCCAAATACCATATCTAGTATCACTAAAAAAAGACTGAAAAGTATCATAATAATTTCTAGAAAATACTAATACGCTTTAAAAAATCTGATTATTTTTTCTACACGTACACTTGACTATGCAGTCTTTGACTTTCTTAGGAAAATCCTATTATTTACCTGTAAATGGTCAGCTGGCATTTTCTCAGAATAAACTGTACTCAGGAAAAGATCAGTGAGCACAATGCACAAGAGATTTTGACAATTTGCATCATCAACATTTGCATAATAAATGAACATGCTACTGTGAAGTAAGACAGGACTATACGTGGATAAATTAGTTTGTACCACTTGTCTCCTTGTGCAGTAAATGTGAGCTGCGCCAAGTCTACACAAAAAATTTCTGCAGTATCTATGACAAATCTGAGGGATAGCATTATTTGATGAAATTGCAGTAAAGAATATTTTAGTAATACTATTTATAAAACTATGAGGAAATTCTGAAATTATGACATATGTTTTTTATTTTGGAGAAAAAAAAAATCAGGATTACCATGTTCCATCCTAATGAAGATCGTATTCATGTTTTATTGCAAGAAAGGCCACTGACCTATATTGCAAGAGTTGTAAAGTATTTGAGATTCTGAGCCTTAGCTTCCTAACAATTCTGGGAATCTCAGCTGTCTTTAACTGAAACAAAGGGAAAGTAGCACACTTAAGATGCATCTAAAATAATTTTCTAAATAGAAAACTAAATGTAAAGGTATTATTTTTAACAAGAAAAGGCTGTGCAGAACATACATATGCATACACTGTAGCAATTTCATTTCATTTATATTCATGCTAAATTAATACAGTGTATTATAATCCTCCATAAAATCCTACTAATGTAAAAAAAATATATATCAAACTGCTACAAGCTCAAATGTTTTAGCAGCACAGGATGAGCAGTGATATAACTAAGTCAGACAAATGTCATCCTTTCATCAATGCACAAAATAATCCTTTCCTATGTCTGTGGTGTAAGTCTGCCATATAAATATAAGGCAGAAACACTATACATAAGAGGTGGTGCTGAGAGAAACTCAAGAAAAAAAAAAAAAAAGTAATAACTTCTTGAGGAACATTGAGGAACATCCTAGAAATAAGAAATAATATCATTATGACACATTTTCTACTGGTCTGACTTGCAGCGGCACCAACAACTGTGCATATTTAAGTATGACAAAAAGAAAAAAAAAAAGTTTTAATATGTTTTAAAAGACAAGAAAAAGCATTAAAAAAATTGTGCTTTCATTACGTATCCCCAGTCAGAAAAATACTGTACTAAACTATGAATCCTTGCTGAAAAAGACCACAGAACTTTAACATCCTACAGACACTACAGCTGAAAATCAGAGCCATTATATCTAAAAATATTATCACAGAATACAGAAAGCAGAGAAAGATCCAAGACTGTAAGTGTTACAGAAACAAAACAATACACAAAATGCACAGCCTGGAGAACGAATTGAAATAAGAAACAGAATTATGCTTACAACATACTGAAAACACTATACGAACAGCAAGAGAAATATTATGACAACAGATCAGTAAGACCTCAGAAGAAAATTCCAAAGAAACTCTTTCTAAAAAGTTCAGAAATTGAATAATCAGACAATAATTAAAACAATGTAGAGCTACTAACAATGTGTATAACTTACAGCACATACTTTACAAAGAGTCAGAAGAATACCATAAAGTCGTGTTTGCAAATATTACAGTTCTAATAAATGGCTTAGTAGGATGCTAAGCAGCAGTTGCTACAGTGGGACCCAGAGGAAACTAAATGTAAGGAAGAAAAAAATCAACTCTTCAAAATAAACAGAGCATTAACAGAAATACTTTTGAACAGGAAAAGAATAAAACAACTTAAAATTTTGTTAGAAAAAATATCTAGTTGATTTTGACATGGTTGGTTAAAGACCTGTAATCATACTACTGTCCTCACAGGAAGTAGAAAATCAGTTTTAATTTTCAGTTAACAATAACTAGCAACAAAATGTGACATTTGTAAAATATAATGAGTTAATTTTAAAATATTTATTAAAATATGTCAGCATATCATGTTTTACTCTTGTGGAAATACATCTCAAATAAGTTACATTCTTTGAACTACATTAAATGTAATGTTAAAAGGAAATACTGTCTTATCTTGTAAAATGCTATGTATAAACTAACTAGAGGAAAAGATGAATTCATTCCTAGAGTAAGCCAAAAGTAATTTTAAATACACAATAAAATGTCACAATCTGTCTACATTCTTTGAAAACAGAGTGAAAAGTGAAGTATGGATACTAAGCATTTTCATAAGTATTTTCAAGTCTAAAGGGCAAAATAGTAGGCCCCTCAGTTTAAGTTCAAGATCAAGTCTTCAGTACATAGCTCAGTTTTCAAGAGGTCTGTCATTCATAACTCCCACAAAGTCAGGGATTAAAATCTGCCCAACTTCTTTCAGAAGAAAAATAAATTTCATTTGAGTCCAATTAACTATGAAGTAAAAGCACTTTCCTTCCCATCTTTTATCCTAAGAGACATATGCTAACTTCAGATTTAGTTTTGGGGATAGAAATCTCAGTACTGGATTTGATGCATATTGATAAAGGTGATATAGAGGCCACGTGAAAATAAATAAATAAATAAAAATTAAGAATACTGTATGTCTTCAACAGGTCTTATTTAAACATTCAACATTCATAGCCATCATGGTTCTAAAGCCAATAAATGCAACAACTGCATAAAGTGAAGAAAAATCTTTTCCTGTTTCACTGCTACACAAACCCAAGACTAATAACAAACACTTCATTCCCTATTATCCATTATGTCTGATAAACAGTTTGATATTAAAAGTCTTGAAGCTTCACATATTGTTTCCCGCTGTTGTAAAAATCAATTTCTCCATTAGCTTTTTACTAGCTTCCACAAAACTAGATTAAATTGTGTGGACTTCTTTCTCAGTGGAAGCATCAAACCTTTTATTAATTCCTCTTCATTTCAAATGTAACATAAGAATTATCACTCGTGTGCTCTTCCTACACCATATTGATGAACTACCAACCAGTCCACAGAATACTACTGTAGAGTGTCCTTTCAAGTCTATCAAATAGAGCAAATTTATCCACATCAATCTTACTGAGCTCTATTCTACTAAAACCATAAATCCATTGAGAAACAGATATATTTTATAGAATGAATAGAACCTGCAAAATAACAAACCTTAGCCTACTATGCACCTAAGACACAAGTCTGAGCCTCCACAGTTTATATAATGTAGAGCTCAATAAATACTGCTACGCTGCACCAATTTTTTTGTATTATTACAGTTAAAATCTCTTGCATTCAGCAAAGAGATTACAATCTTCATTTTATCATTAATATGAAAAATGCTAATTGAAATTCTTGAAAAGTCAAGGAAAAAAATAAAATAAAACATTAATGAAAAAGATCTGAATAAATAAATCTTTAAGGTACTAAGACTCAATGTTCTTGGCACTAATTTCATACATTTTCTTTTAATGTGCAACATTTTCTGTCAAAATAGACTGCATTTTGCAAAATAGACTACATCATATTGAAAATAAATTGAAATTGAAGTATGTCAGACATTTTTCATATTTTAGATGGTTACCAATACTGAAAAATGCCAAATGGCTTAACACTTCAACTTTAAAGTTATAAAATCGTAGACAAAGTTCATTCATAGCCACTTCTAATTGCCACACTAAATAAAATACAATAGCTCAGTTTGCTTCTATTGCTAGTTTCTTCTTTAGAGAGAAGCCCATCTGCAGTAAAATGGCTTATGTGAGAGTTTTATATTTTTGTCTGTTTTTCAAAATACATATCTTGGTACATTCTAGTGTAACAATAATATTAAATTAAAATATTGCTACTAGTTTATGCATAATTATTTATATCCTATATTCAGAACTTATTCTTGGGAAACAGTGGCTTGAAAAAAGAAATTAGGCATGTTAGTAAAATGGTTAACAACACTAGACAATGTAATAAGATATATGCCTACTCTTTATGATTAGATTGAATGACATGTAAATATCAAGAAACAACTTGAAAAATCAATTGATTCATTTAGAAATATGTGATTTTGAACATGATCTTATGAATTTCACTTAAAAATATATAATTTGTAAACTGTAACTGTGACTTGTTATTCCAAGTGGACGTTTTGACAGATATTAATGAATCATTTTTTTTCTACATTCTAATATTTGAAAGTAGACGGATACTTACAGTCAGACATATGTGTTCACAGATTTGTTTTCAAATATGTTTGAAATAATTTTAATACAGATTCAAAATTCTAGAGTTTAAAATAAGACAGAGAAAAAGCATACCTTTTCTGGATCTATTGTTGTAATGACCCATACACAGTGTGCATTATCTTCATATTGAACTGGATAATTTGGTGATGTAATAATTCCACTTGGTCCACGTAAATTAGAACCACATGTTCTAGCTAAAATGACAAACAGGAAATAAGATTATTTTTGACAAGCTGCTTTATTTAAACAAAACTTCATAAAATTGTCATATCATTAATTAAAACTTGCTGCAAAAGAATTACTAAATTGAAACATTATATATGAAGATGTTCAGTTCTGTCAAAGAAAAAAAAAAAGCAAAAAACAAAATTAGAGGAATTTACATTTCTTTATTCTCAATTTAGGTAAATTAACTTCAATTAACATATAAATATTCTGCTTAGAGTGAACCAAACAATGAGTATTGAATCTCTCTCAGTGTTTGGAGGGAGTCTTTTGTGTACAAGATTAATTTTACGTGAAGGTGCTGTTACGTACTCTCCTTTGTGAGTTCTCTGCAGTTGCAGAAGTCTAGACAGTGTGCAGATCTATATAACAGTATATTCTTAACCCAACTTGAAAATCTGTGGTGTCTTAGCTCTTTACAGTAGAGCAAAGAAAATTAGGAAGAAATATAAAATAATTTTGGGCAGTAGCCTTTTTATAAAGCATGGTATAAACCATCATATTTCCTCAGTCATATTCATCAAAATAATTCTGAAAATGAACTTCTTTATGAATTGTTACTTTTCAAACAGCATTAAGGATAGATTTTCTAAAATATTAAAAAAAAAAAAAAAAGATAAAATCAAATATCACAAGTTATTAAAAAAATAAAAATAAAAACTTACATTAGCATTGAAATCAGAGTTACATTACCCAGAGCACTTCAAAATTCAACTATCTTGTTTTTGGCACTACAGGACTTTGGTAACAGGCTAGAACATGAAATTTCTAATACTTCGTTAGGTACTGTATATCTTCAAATACCCGAATTCCAGAACTTACCTGTATTAACGTTTGAAGTAATTTAGACTACATTCCTTAAAAAACGATAATTCCTTCCCCTCAGTACTGGATAAATGTATCTATCAGAATCCTAGCATTTGAGAAAATTCTACTTTTCATCTTTCTCTGTGCCTGCCTCCATTACGAAAAAAGGGTATTTCCTTACCTCACTACTGGGAGAAATTATGAGCCAAATCTAATACAATACTGGAAGTGTAAGTGGTATAAATACAAAATAAAAAAAAATAAAGGAAAAAAATACTTTCAGATTTTCTATTTTCCTGTTACAATCTTGTTCCAGCACTTGGTCCTACAGACTTCGAAAATTAACTATATAGACCACATCTAGACTGAGATTGCTATGACTCAGTCTTCTATGATAAAGTCGGACTCCCATATAGTCTGTTGTGGAACTCTATTAAGAATTTTGCTTCCAATTCATATGTATTGTAAGTAAATTTTCCAAAGATTCTCAGTACAGGCCAAAAACAAAACCAAAAAAACTTATCCATACAGGAAACCCTACCATATTAAAGCATCATTGAGTATTACTAACCAGTTTGTTGTGCTTTGTGCAGCAAGCAAAAACCACAAAAAGCTAATTGCATTTAAGTATCTGTAGCAATTGGACAGATCAATACAATGGGAAAGGCGTTACAACAAAGGTGTGATGACAGAAGGACCAGCAAAATAGAAAGGTGCTACAAAGAAAGAGAAAAATATTGTTCACCCATATCAGAAGTTTCTAGGTTCACAGAGGAAAGCTTCACTGAGGAAGGATCTCTTTCTGGAGATCATTCCACAGTGCCAGTCAGCCCTTAAATGAGAAACAGTATGAAAAAAATAGTTTACAGACAGATGAAGTAGATCTTGTTATGAGATAAATCATATCAAACACTTGCAGAGATTACTGCATCTTTTGTAGCAGAATCATAACGCAGTCCCCATCTGAAGGCTGACCAAGGAATGATGAGCCCTATCAGAAGTTCTATCTGGTGGAAGCTTTGCTGTTGTTGTTGCTAGTGTGTTTGTTTGTTTGCTTGCTTGTCTACAATTACATGAGTTTAATTGTGACTGATATCATAGTTTTTTTTCATTCTTGAACAAGAAGTTCAGGGCAACTCTACTCCCTCTGCAGTTTCTCTGTCATGCGCTGGCCTGATAACTATCATTCAGCATAAGATTTTGTGAAGTAGAAGTACTACTTCATGGCAACAAATAAAATATATCAAACATTTTGTATGTTTGTTTGTTTGTTTGTTTGTTTTATTAGTGGTGCCAGTTATCTCTAAATTTTCTGGTGCTGAGAACATAAAACAAGCAAATTATCATGGTTAGGACTTTCCTTAACATGTACGCTCCAAATGTGTAATCCAAGTTAATGTTTCTACTAAGAAACAGTAAAAGTTACATACAAACAAAAATAATTGTTATTATTCCTAATTACCTCTTTTCTGGATTATTTTGACAGGATTTACATCCTTTTCTCCTGTTTTATTTCAGACAGTAGATTAAAATAGGAAAAAAAGAACACAACTAGAAAAACAAATAAAAAGTCCCCCCTCTAACAAAATAGTGAGGGTGTGGAGAACTTGGAAGTCAGAAAAAAAAAAAACAGAGAAAAGAATTTACACATAAGATAAACTTCTTTAGTATCTGGGACTGAAAGGAAAACTAAATGACTCTGAAGTTCTCATATTCAGGACTTCAATTAGAAAACTGTAATTTAACCTAGCTGATTAAACTGAACTAGTTTTACTTAGAATGTTTTATACGACAAAAAGAAGATAAAAGGACATTTAATTTTGGATACATATAATTTTATATATATGTGTGTGTGTGTGTAATTCTATATATATATACACATACAATTTGTGCTTTGTTTCAAACATCATTCCATTGCATTTCTAAACAGAAATGATGAATTACCCTTCCAAACTTCAGGAAAAATTTCCAAGAATAGTTCCTACCTCGGCAAATTGGCCTGTGGTCACTCCAGGCAGCCAGTGTATCTGTCACTCTCTGACAAGTGATGCTCTTAGAACCTTGCAGCACATAGTTATCTTCACAGGAAAACTGCACACTTGCACCCACCCTACGAGAAAAATGGGAAGAAAGAGGAAAGAATTACAGTATATTTTAAATAACAAACTCACACAAAATAAATATATCACAGGTTTTCCAGGTCCAAACAAAGAAATTAGGATGGGAAATTTTACTTCATCATTACTACCTACATAAAAAGCTATCCTAACCTATTTGGAACAAGTATACCATGTTCACTTTGTCCACTATTTTAAGAAATAATGTCAGGAATATAATGCAATTGTGATATTAATTTTCATGCTTTTATTAATGACTTCAAAGTAAGCATCAAAAATATGTAATCAGTATTCTTTCAGATAAGATTTATTCCATAAATAATTTCAACTTCACATTTTCTGAAATCCTAAGCAGTTAAATAGAATAATTTGTCAACATGTACTAAAAATAAATATTTATTTCATTCAATTCCTTATTTTGCTGAAATGTCCTACTAAAAACTGTGCAAAATGCTAACTTTCATTAGGATTGTAGTACTGCTGCTACACTAGCAACTTTTAAATATCATAACTTTTTTTTCTACAGATTTTTTTTTGAAGAATGCTGACCAACATTTATGAGAGTTTATATCTAGTTGCTGCGTGTCAGAGAGCTTTCCAAAAGAGAACTGAACTTTCTGCTTCCATAAATTTTTCTGCCTCAAAGCATTTCAATTATTTGTGACATTCTTTGTTCCCAACCACAAACAACCAATTCTGCTGCTAGCTTTCTTGCTCTTGAAAATTCTTATTTGTTTATTTCATGTTGTGAAGCAAGGCATCTTAATAAAACAGATTTCTCACTCTGAGAGAGTCATTGAGTCCTATACACCAGGGGATTGCAGGACAGCAATCAGAAAGCTCAGTAGCTAAAATTGTATTGTGGAGAAAAGTTAATATAATCTCACTCACTAGCATTCAGACTGTTTCTGCCCTTCAAGAACAAGTATTCTGTTTTCTAGAAGATACCGCAAAGACAAATTTGATGGCTTATTATGAAGTGCTGCTATACTTCCTTCACATAACTTTAATTGGGTCTTTCTTTTTATTTATATTTTAAAATTTGAATGAGATGCTACAAATCTAGGAAAACTTTAAAAACCAATTTTGCTAATATTTGGTGCTTGAGCTATTAGATGTGGAAAAAATCAAGGGTGGGGAGCATATTAACTTCCTCCTTCAGTAGTTAATAGGAAATGCACTAACTCCTTTCAGTAGAAAAACTTTCAAAAAGTTATTCTTACATTTGCCATAGTCTGCTTTCCTTCAGAACATTCTTAAAACCCTTTGAAAAAAAAATATATATTCCAAATACATACTTTAAATTAACAAGTATAAGGATAAGCATTCATTAATAAGAAACAAAGGAAAACATAAAATTTTAGTAGTTTCATATATACACTTACAATTAAAAAAAAATCTAATTAAAATTTAGATAGGCTATAGAAGAGCAGTCGTGGGTTTTACTAAAATGACAGATAGTTCTGCACAGGATCCTTGCATGAAGACATTAACTGTTAAACCTGCTTTAATATCAGCTCAGAAACAACCTATATCAAATCTGATTTCTCACAATAGATGCTTCTATGTTTATAATGATTTTTCTGAAAACAGATATTTCCAAAAAAAAATATATATATATATATATGATACATGATAAAATAATTAAATTGGTATTGAAAAAATATTCTGAAAATTCTAAGTACTGCAGAATGGAGATTGAGAGAGTCAGATTATAAACCATGTAAAGAATAAAAGATACTGTAAACTTGTCTATATGTGAAATGCATTTAAAACAATTTCATGAATTGAGAATCACGAGATTAAGATTTTTATCCTACTTTTTATCTTATTCTGATACTTTAGGGCCTGAATAATAAAATGTATTTTTATATATTTATATGTTATTATTTAACATATAAAATGCAGATAGAGACACATAATTTTAGATGTTTAAAAGAATGGTTGATAAAGAGGAATGTTAAGCAAGCTGAGTCCCTAGAGTACCGTCTGTTTCCAGAAAATCAGATGTATCTAATAAGCATCTCAGAATAGGTTGATACAGCCTACAATATGAGTTCTTATACCCTAAGTAAGGCCTGAATTGCTGAACCTCTCACTGACTATGTTTGACGGTTTCCCTTAGAAAGGGAACTTCTTAAAGCACTATTTCAATAAATCTGTTCTGCAATTTCAATGAAAATTATTAATTCACATAATTTCAAAATGTTAAAAGTGAATGTTTGTAAATTTTGTTCTCATCCTTACCTCCATAGTCACTGAGATAATCTGCAGAGACTGCAAGTGTTTTACTTTGCTTTATTCTCTATGTACACAAGAAAACATTTGCTCATTTTTTTTCTTCTACTTTGAATTTCAACTGTATCAAAACAAAATTTGTGAATTATTAAAAAGGTTAAGATTTGACTTAAAGAATCCATTACAAGAAAGACACTGAGGTCATGGAGCACAGCCAGAGAAGGGCAACAAACATGGTGAGGGCTCAGGAGCACAAGTGTCATGGAGAATGATTGAGCATACTGGGATTGTTTAGTCTAGAAAAGAAAAAGCTCAGGACAGACTTTATTGCTCTCTACTACTACCTCAAAGGAGGCTTTGGCAAGATTGGGGTCAGCGTCTTCTCTCATGTAACTGAGATAGGAATAGAGGGAATGGGCTTAAGTTGCACCAGGGGAGGTTCAGGTTGGATATTAGGAAGAATTTCTTCTCTGAAAGAGTGGTCAGGTATTGGAACAGGTTGCCCAGAGAACTGGTGGAGTTAGCATCACTGGAGGTATTTAAGGAAGGAGTAAAGGTAGTACATAGGCACATGGTTTAGTTGGCAGTATTGGTGGTAGGTGGATGGTTGAACTACATGATCTTAGAGGTCTTTTCCAGCCTTAATTCTACATTTGCAACACTGACTAAGATGGAGGCTCAAACTTCCAGAGTCAGGCCAGAGAAGAAGACAATCTTTTTCCTGCAACACAATAATACCAGGTGCTAGACCGCAGAGCGCACTGCCAGTCTTAGCTGGGCTTTCCTACCACACTCATTGTATACTCTGGTTTTGGCTCCTTCTAACTTCCATCTGTTTGGACCAATGAAATATGACTGTGTGCAACATTTTCCTAGCAACGACAACAACATAACAGCTGTGAAACACTGGGTAACCGTCGCTGCTGCAGATTTTTACAAGCACAGTGCGCAGGCTCTTGTTCATTACTGGTGAAAATGCACAGCAAATGGTGCTGACTATGTTGAAAATTAGTGTTTTGTAGGTGAGAATTTGCTTCATCAAATACTGTTTTCAGATCTTCCACAAAAATAAAATGGGATTTTATAGTTTTTTAAAATTGCCTTTATTATGTCCTCATTCATCTTGCTAAATCCTCAGGAACTTTTCTTCCTCAAAATGAATCCAAATATCCACTGGATTATTTGAAATCACTAAAACTCACTTCCTCTACATCCTGAACTGAACTCAGTAGAAGCATGGCAGGAAGAAGATCTCAATGAGTTTTTTCTGCTTCATTATTTTAGAATGAATGCCATTATTGTAGTGAAAAGAATGAAACCCTTTTAAAAAAACTTGTAATCACTGAATCAGTTGAGTATCAGGCTGACTTAGAAAGAAACCCTCTGCTTTTCCATCAGTCCTACTGACAACATATCCTTCAGTAGACTGGAAAATATTTTGAGTAACATGCATTTTCATATGTTCTAGTTTTGACTTATATGTACAGCTTGGATTCTCCTGACAAGAACAATATCTCCTTTTGGTGTCTATACTTGCCTCTTAAAAAAAAGGAAGAAAAAAATCATCGCTTTTTACACTCCACAGTGTTTTGTTTCCCTGCATTGCAAATACGCAAGCAACATCATTATTTTTCCTTAAATCTGGAAGAGATAAATTCTTCATTTCTGAGAAATAAAAACTAAATTCCATCAAAATGATCTATTTAAACACCAATGTATGTAGACAAATACACTTTAAAATAGATGATGTCTTTTAAATTGTTGTTAAAAAAATTAGTTTATCATACATGAAAAACATTTGCTGTTGCATAATTAGTAATAATAAGTAACAAGTAAGGTATAGAAGCAAAACAAAATGTATTGTTTCAGATAATATTCAGAATTGGAGGTCTAAAAAACATGGGAAAATAGCAAATTATCAAATTACATTAACTTTTTATTTATCATATCTTATATTTGTGGAATTATATTATATCACATAATTACCTTTGTGTTAATTTTGCATACTTTATATATTCAATTGTCCTCATAAAGAATGAGATACATTGATTGAAATGAAAGTATTATCAGAGGCTGAATGGAGAAAAGAAAGAAGGGGAATAGCCTTGCTCTATCAGCTCAGAAAGCAATGCCTTTAAGTAGACTCCAGCCACTTAAGATACTGTTAACTCACATTCATTCATCAGAAGTTGATGTCAAAATACAGTTATGTATGTTTGTTGAGGTTCTTTGACATTAGATGGCCTCAGACATCTTAAAATATACTTTGTGCTTTAAGTTTCTTTGGGGCTTTCCCTTTTTAATATTACGTTTAATATTTAATGCATATTAAGTGTTGAGCTCTTCTGTGAAGTTTGGATGTTTGCATGGTTTCACCTAAATAAATTTACATCCCTTTCTCTTCCAAGTTACAGGCTACAGCCTAGAGAAGAAAAGAAGTTAACTGTCTTTCCTATCATCTTCCATCTTATCAATGCTGTTAGACCTGCCAGACTGCGTGTGCAGTTGCTGCTTAATGATTTCATGACACAGGCTTGGACCATACCTATATGAGATTCTTCTCAGTCCAAACTGTGTCATAATCACATACAATCTGCACAAGATTCAGAGATATTCATGGAATGAATCACATTGAAAGAGGCCTCTGGTGAACATCCAGTCTAAAGACATACACTCCAGGCAACTTTAGTTAGGACAGTATGCCCAGGGCCTTGTTCACCTCAGCTCTAAATGCTCCCCTGGATGGAAATTCTACAAATTGTCTGGGTAATTTCCTTCAGTGTTTGACCACCATAATAGTAAACATATATACATATGTATATATATATATATAAATTAAAAGTTCCTTTATCTAGAAGTTCCAACTTGTCTCTGCTCCTGTCTCTGTGTGCCTCTTAGAAGAATCCAGCTTTCTCTTCCTTAATGCCCTCATGAAAAGTAGCTTGAGGACAGCAGTGAGTTTTTTCAGATTCTGTGAGAGTGAGCAAAACCAGCTCTGTAAGCCACCTGTTCTATCATGTGCTCAGGTTTCCTCACCCTCCTGACCTGCTGAAATCATTCCTGTGTCTATAGTTAACAGAGTGAGATTTAACCTCCAGTGCAAATTAATTTTGCATTAAACATTTAGGCTAGGGGGTTACATCTTTATCTTTGCTTTTTTCTCTTCACTTGTAACAGTGATCCTATATGCTGATTTCTATTCTTTCAACTAAGTACTTATTTAGAGGATTTCAGAAGAATTGTAAAATTGTAAATTGAATTGTAATTGAAAATGTAGACTTTATGTATCAAGGAGAGCACTGAAACAACAGAGACAAAGTTATATATACCTAGTACAGATACTAAAGCAAAATATTATCCAAAATAACTGTATATATGCAAGTTTTGCTCAGCTGAATATGCACAAACATCACAACACATCTTGAGAGAAGGTTGTATTTTATTATCTCATTTTTACCTAGTCCTCAACCAACTGATGTTTCCCTCATCAATGCATCAAGCATTAGTTAATATGAAGGTAAAACTTAAAAATGGTAAAACAGCGGACATTTGGAGAGGAAATGAATACTGTATCTTTTTAGCATACAGTTTCCTTTGCAGCAACTGTATATGCCAATCTGAATCATAATATACAGAGCAATTATATAGTAAATATTTTTCTAGACAGCTTATTTTTCTGTAGCATATTTATTGAAAAGCTTATTTCAGTCCATTATTTGTTAAAAATCATTTAGCCATGGTCAAGTTGGTAGTGAAATTATGACTGCATATAGCTGATTCTCTCAGTATACTAGTTGTTCATGACCTCTCAATTTCATTTGAGGGTAAACAGAGAAAAATCTAGGAAAGGTTAGTCAGAAAAATATTTTAAAATTATTTTTCAACTTTACATTATGCTATTTCTTTGAAGAGCAGTATGTCTGATTGACTCTGTTTTCTGCAGTTACAAAGACCTTTGCAAAATTCTTTCTAATTCCTGTAAAGTTTTCCTTTCCACTCCTTCTGAGTGATTTATAAATCTGTGCAAGAGGTGGAGGTTCAATTGCCTTGCTTGAGGGTTAAAATCTTTTTGTCTTTTCCCCCACAGAAAATGAAAGAGAAACGTTCCTCTTCCCCCTACAGTCCACTCAACTTCAACCTTCTGTTTTTAGATAAATGTTACAGAAAAAAAAAAAAAAAAAAAAAAAAAAAAAAAAAAAAAAAAAAAAGTATTGGACACAACATTCGCCATGTTTCTCAAGACTTTCAACATCTTTAAATAGTGGGAAAACAAACAATTCTCTCACCACACTCTTTTATGCTGTGAAGAGAGCTCTGTCTTTTCAGATATAGAAAAGAATATCAGGATCCAAAATTTATTATTTTAAAAGAAACAACAGGAAAAAAAAAGTGAAAATAATCATGACTTGCAATGGACTGGAATTATTCTGACAAAGGCTCAATACATTAAAAGATTGGGAAAATATGCATATCTCTGGTTGCATAATCTGTAGCTATGAATACCTTCCTCTAGGTCATATATAAAACAAAACGTGCCTACCTGAAGTCAGAGCCCACTCTTTTCCCATTTTCAGGAATTCCAGGATCAGGACATGTATCAGATGCAACTGCATCCCCACCCTGTGTCACTGAAAAGTGAAGAAAAAATATTATTCATGTAGATTAAAAGATGACTCTTCACTTTTCCCGTATTTTAACTTCTATGGCCACATGCATATTCGTATTTTCTTTCCTGGAACAATATCAATTTTGACTGAACAATGTCCCATAGAATTGATTTATTGGGTGTACTGCTTATTTTATTTGATTATGATGAAAAACAAACAAACAGACACCACCAACAAACATGTTTTATTTCTGAGGAATAATAAATGATTGATTTTCTGTAGTCAGTCATGTTTTTATGGATACCCTAACATCCATTGCATTTCTCAGAGAGGAAAAACATTTGTGAAGTCATTTTCTGAAATACTTGCAACATACCACTGTGTGATCGCAGTCCAAAAAAATTAAGCAAGTTTAGAAATATACAAAAGCTAAGGTCCAAACAAATATTTTGAAGATGATATAATGTAATGTAACACAACACTGAATACACAGAATACATAGAAAACCTGAACACACTTATGTGTTCATATGTGTTCATGCACACATATATATGCGTATATGTGTTTATACATTGCTACACACTCTTATCTTTCTGTTTCCCCCACAGAAGAAAAGCGCTAGTAGAAATCTGAGGACTACATTTCCATCTTAAAAGATTTTTGAGAAAGTTTAAGGACAGGGCAAAATGTTCTTCATAAATAAAATAAAAAACAAACAAACAAACAAGCAAACAAAAAACAGTTGGAATATTTTAGTTTCATAAAATAAACTGTATAAACTTGAATGGATTACAGATGAAAGCTGATGAGAGATTAGACATAAAATGTGTCTGGTTCTCTTATACAGTGACATACTTTCAAATTGAATAGAATGGCAGAAAGAATAGTCACAAGCATGATAAGTACTATTAAATGGTAATAAAATCTTCAGCAGCATCAGGGACCATTAACTTATATGAAATCCAAAGTTTCCCAAGAGATTAAAATTAAAAAAAAATATATATATATATATGTATTGCAGTACTACAAAAATATAACTACAGCCAAAGCTGTCATAATTACCAAAATGCTTGACGACCTTCTATTTAAAGAAAATGCACACAGTTAATGTTTTAACATTTATGGGGTTTTTTTTTGTTTTTTTTTTTTGGTTTTTTTTTTGGTTTTTTTTTGCACATAAAATGTTTTAAAAGCTGAGAAAAGGAGTCATCTATGTGTCCACATTTTTTAACAACAGTAATTGTATATAGTCCCAGAAATCTTTCTTTATGTTAGGTGATAAAAGATTATGATAATTGGAAAATGAATTTTCAGATAAAATTAGAAATTTATCTTACATGAAAAAAAAAGTTTTCTGATAAGTAATAAGTTTTAAAAATGCATGAAAAAAAATACAGTTCAGCTGAAAACAAAACAAAACAAAACCTCTTTAAATTTGCCATCCTGAAAGCACCAAAACTGAGAGCCTAATCTTGGTAGTTTCCCTAATATAAGTTGGATTAATAGACTTTTTTGTGTGTATGTTAATAGGGTTGTCAAAACTAATTTCTACTAGCTAGTAAACATGCATTTTAATCTGAGAATTTTGTAGTTTATCAAGAAGTGTCAGCATTGAAATGCTGTTACAGTCAAAAAACAATCTTGCTAAATAAGCAGCCTACTCGAACAATTACATACTTTAAAATAAATAAACTTCACAGTAGCAATTCTTCAATTTTCCAGGAAAATAAAGAAACAGCAACAAAAACCAAGAACTTACAACTTTTTGGCACAGAAATGTAGTTGTGTTAGTGAAAGTGCAGTTCAACTTTGAGTATGAAATCGCCAAAAAGTGAAAATAAGCCATTTGATAGTTACTGAACATACAAACATCACTAAACTTAAGCCTTATAATAACAGCGGTAATACAAGGTAGAGAACACTGCATTTTCTATAATGTTTTAAATACTAAAGCATTGTTGTGCAATGCAGATATATGTATATGCAAATTGCATAAATATTTTGCTTCGGACACCAGGAAACATCGACTGAAACCTTATTCATAGCACAGAGTTGCTGATTCCCCCAGATGGAAATTCATCGTTGCAAAATTTTTCTCTCAGCTACTATTTTCCCCTGTCAATACATTCACACATCACTATCACACTAGCATTTGAACAGAGAAATACTTCTTGAAACAGAGCAGGTGTCATATGTCTGGAACTCAGCACATCTTTCAAGATATCTGAAGTCCTCACTAAACATGGCCTAAGTTTTACCTTCTGCTTTCCACAATGAACTGTCAAGTGTTTTTTAACAGATGGTGGTTGTATGACATGCTGTCATAACAAAATAAATCAAATTCCCTGTAAAACAAGCCTGTTTTTGTCTTTCCATGTGGCAAAACAAACAAACAAACAAACAAATAAATAAAAAATAAATAAAAATCACAAAATAATGAAATAATTAACTAATTTCAGAGTGTCAACTGGTGTTCAGAAACACCAGGATCTTTAGTACAAATATGAGGTTATTTGTTATTATACTTAAAACCCTTATCTGTCAGTATTTTTATATATATATATATTTATCATTCAAACATAAAACAAATGAAAGATGCTGAAGCAAATCCCAGTCAATGTCAGAGATCTTTTTCTTCCTGTTTTCTAGTCCTGTCCGATTTCCCCTTTTCCACAGTTTCTGTCCTTTATCCACTGCTACTGAGATGTAGAATAAAGTACCATCTCTCATTTGATTATCTCCGTTCCAGAATATATTTCATCATTCAGTCTTTCTCAGAAATCCTCTCTAAAAAATCTTCAAATTCATTCCATCACATGCCCAATCTTTTGTAGAATCACAGAATCATTAAGGTTGGAAAAGCTCTCCAAGATCATCTAGTCTAACCGTCAACCTATCAGCACTATGCTCACTAAACCATGTCCCTCAGTGCAACATCTGCCCTTTTCCTGAAAACCTCCAGGCTCCACCACTTCCCTGGACAGCCTGTTTCACTGCCTGAGTTTCAGAGAATGCATTTTTCCTAATATCACAACTTGAGGCCACTCCCTCTAGTCCTATTGCTAGTTATACTACAGAAGAGATTGACCCCCATCTCACCACAACCTCCTTTTGGGTTGTAGTAGAGAGTGATAAGATTTCCCCTGAGCCTATTCTTCTCCAGTCTAAACAATTCCAGTTCCCTCAGTCGCTTTCCATAACACTTTTCTCCAGACCCCTCATCAGGCTCGTTGCCCTTCTCTGGACACAAACCAGGGCCTCAGTGCCTTTCTTGTAGCGAGGAGCCCAACACTGAATGCAGTACTTGAGCCTCACCAGTACCTAGTACAGAGAACAATCACCTCCCTATTTCTGCTGACTACACCGTTTCATTTAAAGAAAAATGCTTCTTTCTGCTGTTGTTTGTACTCTCTCAGAAGTATACTGTTGGATTTACACAGGGTTTTATAATGGTTCATATTTTTTGCATCTTTCTTCTGATTTCACAGAATCACAGGCTGAGGTTGGAAAGAACCTCTGGATAAACCTGGTCCAATCCCTGCTCAAGCAGGTACCCAGGTAAAGCAAGTACCCAGGACTACATCCAGGTTGCTTTTGAAGATCTCCAAGGAAAGGACTCTACAACTCTGGGCAACCTGCGTAAGTGGTTTGTCACCCACACAGCACAGAAATGCAGCCAGTAAGGATGTGTCTTGAGACAAAACCTCTTGTTTTCTAGTTTGTGCCCATTGCCTCTTGTCCTGGCACTCGACAAAAGACCATGACTAATTCTTTTTATTTTTTTCTTTCTGTGAAATCATAAGAAAGGTATGACACAGAAATTTAGGGCACTGAATAGTTCTTAACCACACACCAAAGATTATTTTCTAACTCTCAATACCAGTCACAATACAGTCTTCATATACTTTTGGTATAACCTTTCTGTTGTAAAAACTAAGTTCAGGTGTGTATAATAATGTCAAATATGAAAATATGATATTGCTTTACATGGATAATTCTTCACACTATTCTGCATAGTTATTCACAGAATCATCAGCAACAGAATATGGTGCATGTTCCATGAGACTAATGTCAGAAAAAGTAATTGAAGTGACAAATTTTAGATATTACATGTTTTGGCAGTCTTTTTGGTCATTTACACATTCTTCTAAAGATATCAGCAACCCATAGAAATATTTTGGGTTTAAACAAACATAAAACAGATACAAACTCAGGTATACACATTCCTTCAACCATTTTGAATACTTTTCAAATTAAACCAAAAATTACCAGAATCACCTACAAGATGGCCTTGTCAAATAGTGCCTGGAGGTTAGAGAAAATATCCCAAAATGCACTGTGGAAAGATATAATAAGAAATGGCAGTTTTTCTAGCACAGACTGACAAGCCGGTAAAGTGAACAAGACTTTACAAAGAATGGGTACTTTATCTTTCTATTATGACGCAAATAAAAGCTGACATGTAAATAGCAGCCTCTTGCCAGCCAAGAAATCACCCATAAGTGCAATGACTCTGGGTCAATGAAACAGGATAAGAACTGCACTAATTGAGACACATCTTTATTATTCATAAGCTCTGCAGATTTACATTTATTTACATTTTAATTTTTGAAGAGCGTGATTAATATCTTATAAAAAAAAAAAAAAAGTTAAATTAAACAATTCTAGATGTGATTTTGGTCACTAAAAAATTATTCAAGAGTGAACACAAAGCATTTCAATTATTCTTTATCAAATGCCCTTGAAATTATTTGTGCATAACATTGAAAAATGTGGTTGCTGGAAAAGACAAATGTATATATTTAATATATGTACTTATGTCCTGGCATAACAATACATGGAGAAAAGATACATATGATTATAATTGTATAAAATGGCTGAATACACTGGATGTTTTATTATTATCTAGACATTTAGAATTAATAGATGAATACAAAGAACTAAGGGTACAAAAATTCATTTTTCAAGTACAGTCACAGAGAGAATTAATTGAATGAAAGTTTCCACAATAAGTTAAGCTA